TCAGGAGTTAGTCGTGATTAGTATTATATCTTTGATCGTATTCTTCATTTCTTCTTCATCGTTTTATAGTCTTCGTTTCTTTGTGTTTTTTATTACTATTTTCTAAAATATATCCATTATCAAGCGGGGTCATTCTAACAAAACAGGTGAGTACATTGCGCCTTCTCGTCTTTCCTTGGGAGCAACAAGAGTCTAACATCAGAGGTCAGTGGTCCGGGGACGAAAGGTTAGCACCAAGATGGCTCATGTCATCAGTCTTGATGATTGATTAGCTCTTTAGCGTCTTTACCCCGAGAAGGTAAATTCGCTATGTTATCGTTCCCAGGAATAAACTGAAAATTGACATTTGAATGATTTTTGATCTCTCTTATTCGATTTGAAACGAAAATTTTGACCGGCTTTTTTGTATGTAGTGAATGCAACGCACATTGACTGTCTGACCATAAATATTGTTCACAACTCGATAATTGAAGCGAATTGGAAATGAATTGTAAATTGCGAACGCCCAATAAAATTGCCAACAGTTCTAAACGTGGAATCGTTAAGAAATGTTTGATCTGCAAAACTCAGCTGTAAAAAGTAACTTGAAGTTATTTCTGACAAAATGTGCCCATCCTAAAATACACTAAAGTTAGGGGAAAAAGCTGTTCGAACAGGTTTTCTTCTGAATTTAGTGCATTTTAGAACGTCCATATTTGTATCACAGATAATTTCAAAATTTTTCTACTTATATAGGATTGTAGTCCAAATATTTCTCTACAAAATGAGACATACCGCAACTCTGAATAATTCTATATAGGCGATTTATAATAATTTTCGTGAAAGCCCTAACACCAGTTTTTAACTGGTTGGTGCATGACTAGACAGGCCTAAGAAGCTAACTTTTAGATGAACGTACTTAAGCACAGTATTCGTAAGTAGTAAATATAATTATTTTCTTTATTTTAGATACTGGGATGCTCGTGTTCCTTCTAAAGGTGCGAGTGATTTCACGCAGTCAGTCATAGTCATTCCAGAAAAGCGCAGAAAACTCTGTTTACGAAAAATTTTACGCATTTAGCGAGTTTCGAATAATAACGGGCAAGAAGCTGCGAGTGTGTAAAAATAAATCGCAGGACACGCGTGTAAAACCTCTGCTTCCACGACAATGTGCGTTTCTTGCGCTTTATTTTTACACACTCGCAGCTTCTTGCCCGTTATTATTCGAAACACGTAAAATTTTTCGTAAACAGAGTTTCCTGCGCTTATGGAATTACCGCTGGTCATCTGCTGATACAGCAGATGCATTGTCCGACTCATGGTTTCGTGCATTACCCAATGAAGTTATATTACACGTTTTTCGTCTATTATCTGTAAGTGATTTAGGAAAATGTTGCATTAGTTTGCCGTTCATTTAAATTGCTTGTCGATAGTGATGAAATTTGGAAATCTAAATGTAATAGTAAGTAAATAAATTTATAGTTGCTTTTCGTATGTTAACGTTTTAATCGAGAGCTCGTAACCTGACAAAAATTTTACTGCACTCATTTAAATTTTTATGTCGACTTAGATAGATATACAAACTAGTTTTAGTCTTACAAACTGTTCTTATTTGTTCGGGAAAACCAATTGTTGAATTTAGTTATATTCATTATGCGAATCAGAAACTTTATATAACACTCGATAAAAATATGAGTGTTTTGGGGAAAATTTGACGAAATTTTTGGCAGAACTTATTTTTCTCAACATAGAAAGAAAAACCGGTTTTTAGCAAATGTATTTTTAAAATAGTGCCCACACGATTGCCTGCGAAAACGTTCAAACAAATATACATGGAATGGATTTATGAAAAATGCTGTCGAAATCAAGAATTAAAATTAATTGAACAAATCTACCTTGATGAATCTGGTACCTATGCTTGTGGGATGCATGCTCCTCCGCCGTCTTATCCTGCTCGACCTGAAGCTCGTTTTTGATGGCAATTGGCTTTCGCGGTACAAACGTTTCCTGTCTGAAACTTTTTCAAAGGTTAAAGTTAAAAATACTTACGGTTACGTTGATGCGTTGTCTATGTCGAAATCTGCAATGAAACGACTGAAAAAATCCTACGAACGGTTTTTATATATGGCAGCTAAATTTTCACCAAAAAATGAATACAATTTTGTTCATCCGGCATATGCTGTAAGTGTGATGAATGATTGAGGGAATATTTGTATCGAATGATCATTTTTGTTTTCTTAGATTGATATTATTTGGCATTCACATATGCAAGAACCATTAAAGTATGCTACCGATAGTATTCGTATTGTTGGCTACATAATGGATCATGCTCCATGGCCTTCTACTGATGTTGATAAAACAAAACAATCTTGTCTGGATACAAATAATATTTGGAAAAATGAATTTGGATGTGACATTTCTACTGATCATTTGCACGATGCAGTTAAAGATCAGAATCACAATCGGTATGATGAGTATGACTGATTTTAACCCTTTAAGTCCCCAAAGTTTCAACGCTTGATTTTGGGTCAACCGCTTATGAAAATGGAAGATATGACATCTCGATATGACTTTCTCAGGCCTGAAAAAAATTACTTTTCATTTTTAAAAATGTTAAGCTTTTATTTCTGAAACGTCATTGAAGAAACAGTCTTTTCTAAAGTATCTGAAAAAAGCAAATTAAAAAAACTGAATTTTTTCTAAATCTTCTTCTTTTTAAAATCTGAATATCTCATCTAGCATACAACATCAACAAATTTCTTTTTACCATTCGATCGCCAATTTAATTCTCTTTGTTATACTGATAATGGCAATGTCCATTCAAATAGACATTGAGCTTTAAAGGGTTAATACGACTACAATGCCACTTATACACTTATTTTGAGCGAATGTGAAGCTGATTACAAGTTACTAAATACCCTACCTGGAATCCAATATCATAAAAATCTGCAATGAACAACAAAAAAATCAATAATAACAAATAGATATTAAATTTTTTCCACAAAATGGATACTTTGGTGTTGTCGCAACCTTAAAATTATAACGTTGCTGCAACCCAAAATTGACAGACACTTCAGGCTATCTTTCCATGGGTGTATCTCAAAACCGATTTTTTGACCGAA